GGTTTGGTTTATCTCATTCTTTCTGGTAGATCCTCTCACTCTCCCTCAGATCAGACAGGGAGTGTCCGTGTGCTGCCATCTTCAGGTCTCTCCAAAGTGTTCTATGGGGTTAAAGTCTGGACTTTAGCAGGGCTGCTCCAGTGTCATCCTGGCTGTGTGCTTCAGGTCATTGCCATGCCTCAGTCTCAGGTCTCTGCACTGTGGAGCAGGTTTTCTTCAAGGAGCTCTCTGTGTTTGGCTGCAATCCTCCTTCTCAGTTCTGACTAGTCTCCCTGTCCCTGCTACTGAGAAGCCCCCATAGCATGACCATCATGCTTCACTTCTTGGTCACTCCCCTTACCAAGCCCCTCATTGCCTGTTTCTTAGTTTGGTTGGATGTGATCTACGAAGTGATCTGGTGGGTCCAGACTTCTTCAGTTTCACAATTATTGAGGCCACTGAGCTCCTGGGAGCACTCAAAGCTATAATGATGGTTCTATACCGTTTTCTGGATTTATACATTGCTACAGTTTTATCTACAGGGAGTTACCATGGCTTGGTTTTTGTTCTGACATGCAGTATGTACTGTACCTTATGTAAACAGGTGTGTACCTTTCAAAACTATGTTAAGCAGTCAAACCAAGCGGCATACAGCACCTCTCCTTAGACCTTCAAATCTGATATGGAAAAATGGTTAACAGGGAAAAAGAAATAGAAGAAACTTCAGGAAGAGCAACAGAATAATTCAGGAATGTGTCGCATGCAGACATAATACAGAACAAAGAACTGTAACATAAAGTGAACATGACATTTAGTAAACAATACGTGACTAGACTAGAAGTGTATATTGTATAAATATGTATATGAGAAGCATGGTCCTGGAGGATAAGCCAGCTTCCAGGTGCCTTCCAATAGACCCACGCCACACGGCTTCTCCTCCAGACAAAGACCTGGTAGGAGAACAGACTACACAACCACATGAGAGGCAAAACCCAAACACATCATTCACACATACAGGGGAGGGAAGCAAACACAACAGATTGAGGGAATGAACGGGTAATGAGCAGAAATGAACAAATAAGAGGCTTTTGAAGGATGAGGATCCATATCCAGAGGGGAGAGAGGTCCCAGTACAGCTGGTGGTCCAGCCTGAATGACGGGGAGGAGGAGAGAGAGAGGCCCAAGGCTTCGATGCTCATGTGCTTGAAGGAACGAACAGACACAATGGTTTTTAAAGGTTTCCAGTGATCTTGTCAGTAGGACAACATGGACTGTGCAGTGCATAACTAGGTTTAATAGACAGAAACCCACCAATGGGAGAATAGCAAATACAAGGCAAGAAATTAATGGGACAAATGCCACAAGTTGAAAGTTATGGTGCACAGTTGAGCTTTAAGTTTGGATTTGGTTTGGATCAGTAAACTATCACTGAAGTAACTATAAAGCATTTCAGCTGATTTAGATTTGGGTTCTTGTTGATCTTATGATCAGATGTGTAACTTTGAGTAAATCCCTACAACAATAGTAGTCTGTCACCTTGTGCGGAGGGGGTGGAGGGTGTCACAGACACCCCGGTGTGGACTACATTCATTTATTCATGTACCACAGTCTGGCACTTCACTGTGAGGAGGCTGGCTGCAGCCCAGCTTGGAGCTACATCTATCGCTCTGCGCTCTGAGGGGGAACACGCTCCCTGTTTGGTAGAGTGAGATTTGATCAGCTCCACTCTTATCTTAGCCATTAGTATGTGTCCCTCTCACAGGATCTAAACCTTGAACATCAGATGCGGTCTCTCAGTCCCTGCTCTAAAATCCCACTGTAGGTTCAAACTGAACACGAGAGAGGGGAGGTTCTCTTTAAGATTTGGACAGTGTTTGCCTTGACAGCTTTTTTGCCGCAAGCATTTAAAACCGATTCACTGACATGAGAGTTGTACCATTGAAGCTGTCGGCCGTGACCTCTCAGCAGACAGCCCTGAAAGGCTGGAGTGCCCTCAGGTGCAGGCAGGGCAGAGTGGAGCCCATTAAAGACACCGTCCAAATTCAGGGGTGGATGTTTTTTGTCTGACTTACTGCCACAGCCAAACAAGCTCTAATAACACTCCATGAACCTCCATATATACTGTATGTTCTCTCAAATTGATTTTAATTGAATCTTGAAAAGGGATAGCTCAACATTTTGTAAAATAAACCCTCTTTTTTGCCAAGAGTTAGATGAGAAGATTCATACTGACCTCATATGTCAGCTAAATAGGAAGTGAAAGGTGGTAGGCAGGTAGCTTGTCTCAGCATAAAGACTGGAAGCAACAGGGGGAGCAGCTAAGTTGCCTTTATGCAAAAACCTGCTACCAAGAACCTCTATAGCTCCATAGTTATAGCTCATTATATCTTGTTTGTTTAATTTGTTCAGATACCAAATGGCAATGACAAAGGCAACATTTCACTTTAATTCCCCCCATTATAAGTAGTGAATAAGACCTCGCCAGATATTGGTGGAGGTCTTGGGATTGGAATCAATAACTGTCAGGTACATTTGGAAAAATCTGGTCAAAACCTCTGACCTTGAACTTCTCCACAGCATGAATGAGGCTGGACTTCCATGTTTGCAGTGCCATGACACAGTCATGTGTTTAAGACCTAAAACTCACTTTAGGCCACCCAGGTCATGATACAGCACAGAAACCACTGATCTCTCCCCCATCTGTTCCAACACACACACACACACACACACACGGATTGCCAGGCTATCTGTGCTTCAGTAATTGTATTGCTCTGCTGGGTGTCAGTGAGCTCTGCCTTCTGTGGAGCAGTAAATCCTTTTGAATCCATTCTCCAGTCATTGCTGCAGTCTGAGCTGCATGTCAGCTGTGGTAGCATGCTGCCCTCTTCTGGTACACTTCAGCACATCCATTTGAGATCTGCTGGGAATAAATTCATTTTGTCTAAATATTCAGCAGCCTCATGCTTATTGAGAAGTTTGAACTATACATTGTGTGACGGTTACTTGTTCATATGGACTTTTTCTTTCTGCAGTATGATGCATCCGTAAAATGTGTTGGAGATCACAGTAACTGAAAGTGGAGCCGCGCTGAGAAACGACCATACACTGTTCTATAGAATGCTTCTGTTGAACAGCTTGTGGCTTTCATAGTTGTAGTTTGTGACAACTTATTCTGGGCGTTTTGTTGCGCAGCATCTTGTAATTACAGGACACTCCATTTATCTAAGCATGAGTATGGCCTCATCCAATCCACTAAATGGTATGCAGTTGTGTCTGTATTGAAAGTGGCAGGATGAATAAATAGCTGTCATGTATGTGTTTGTGTCTTGTCTTGTAGGGGCTAATGATAGTGAGGGTGGGTAAGAGCAGTGCTGCTCCCCACCAGATGGTGGGTAATGTGGTTTGCTGTAGCTGCCCACCACGCTCACTCTAATTAAACAGAGGAGATTACATTAACACAGACTCCGACTCAATCTGCTCCTCCACTGAACGTGGCCTTGGACTGATGGCAGGGTCAGCATTGGAGGTGGAGGGGTTACAGAGGTGACTGTCATTCTTTGTGAAGCCAAGATTACATATTTGCTTCAAAGCTAAATTAATTTCTTGATAAGGAAATGAAATTTGAAGAAAGTTAGAAAGGCTTCAGAGCAGGTGGCTGTATCAGCCAGAACAATCTCGGTGCTTCACTCACAATTTTTACAACCTCAGCTGAGTTTCTAAATGCACTTGAGGAAGACGCGCACCCTCCATCTGCTCCATTTATAACAATATGACACTTAGAAAACCTCATAAGTACTCATGAAACAGTTTAATTTATTGAGCAATGATCAATATAGAAAATTATAAATAGTGATTATACATTTCATTGTTAAAAATTTCTGATTACCACCTTGCATTCCAAACAAGGTGATAGGGGGCTAATAATATATTGATAATAGAAGGTTATAATAATATCATGGAAATTACTAAAGTAATAACCAGGTAACATCTTAGAAGTAACAATGGTTATATCTAGATAATATTAGAATGCAATGTTTGTAACAAGGTGCCAAAAGCAGGGGTAATAATATGAAAATGCATCATTATATCATATTAATCATTATAGCTGTCAGTGTTGGGCTTAATTTGACATTACCATGACATAAAATAGAAACGGGTAGTTTTTCATTTTCCGGCTCTGTGTCCTGGTTATTACTTAGAAACTGCCAGATGTGTGTCCGGGTTACAAATCACAGCATAAATTTTTTTTTTTTTTTGCGTTGTTCCCTTTAATACAAAAGGGGATGTTTGCAACTTATTGAAGAGGAATTTCCATGTTATCTGGCACCTGCCAGTTTTGATATCCAAGACTTTTCATGTGACCTGAAGACATTAGGCTGCTAGAAGGCCACAACGTTTTGAAACCACGAGCCTGCTATTATACTATAATACCACTGCCAAGTGTAACAATTTCAAATGAAAAATATTACACTGATAAAATGTTACTATTGATTTCAGGTTACCATACCATTACCACATATTTACTATGCTATTTCTAAATAATTCTGCTTCATTTTTATCATTGGATCTGTCTTCTCATTATTATCCATGTATTTGGCCCCTTGTTACAAAATGTATGTTCTAATATTATCTAGATATGCTCGTTACTTCCAAGACCATACCTAGTTAATACTTTGGTAATTTGTTATGGCATTGTTATTACGCTTTTACCAATATATTACCCAGAATGTAAAGTTCTACCAATTTACCAACTGATTAATCAATCACTTAACTTTAATTCAACTGATGACAAAGATTATGGTTGAATCTACTAATTAATTTATTTGCCAGCTCTAAGAAGAGCTCTCATTGGCTGCCACCTGAACATGCTGATGCTGCATGAAAATGTCTGTCCAACGTTCAGGAGTTTGAGTTTGGTACACTCTACCTCCCGCTATCTGTTGCTTAGGTCAGTGGTTCTCAACCTTTTTTGGTTTGGGACCTTTTTAAAAACCAAGCAAAGCAACTTGCAGCCCCTTGTCAATGGTTTCATGCTGTATGTCTGTAAATTGTGAGCTCTGAAAGCAAAAAGTCATTCTTCCCTTCTCAGGCTGATTAATTTGAATATTTTTCAGAAACCTTAAAATCTAGAATCATTCAATAATTCACCATCAAAATAGTAAAGTATAAATGGCTTTATGCAGCGGAATTCAGATTTTTAGGTTAGAAACCACTGCCTTATATTACACAGCTGTATCAGGTTAGTTTGCAGAACCTCCTTGTGGGCATCAGCACAGGGACGACAGTGGGGTGGTGGGTAGAGCAGTCGTCTCCCAACTGGAAGGTTGAAGGTTCGGATCTCGGTGCCTGCAATCCACATGTCAAAGTGTCCTTGGGTGAGACACTGAACCCCCCAAGTTGCCCATGATGGCAGCGCGTATGCACACAGCGGCCCGGGCCCTCGGCTCCAAACAAAATTTCGTGGTACATGTTAAAATGACAATAAAATAAAGCTTCTTCTTCTTCTAAATATACAGTATACTGTCTTCACAAAGTTTATGCTGTTGTTCACTGTACATGGATTTAGCAGAAAGAAGTGAATGGAGTCATATGGTGTAGCTAAAATGGAGCTTGAATTATCCCTGTGGCGAAACGGAGTGAGCTGGAAAAACTCAAGCACCAGAAAACAAGAGAACGAGATCATTGTAGAAAGAAACTGTAAACACTGCAGGCAGGAATTTAGCTGACGGGGTCATGCAGCTAGAAAACAGATGACACAATAAAACATTCACAGTGTACCGAGATGCTGCTTTATGGGAAAATGAAGAAGATGGAACAGGAAACCAAATGAACACACTGCTCTGGCACAATAACCTGTTAAAGCCCAAAGACATTAAGAGAACATAAAAATCAAACATCAAAAAATTGAAAGTAAATGTTGCCAGCTCTTGTAATTAAGAGGCCTCACTTTCACTGCTCTGTGCAGGGAGCAGTGCTGACCTGCCGTACTGATTCTTGCACCTTTCACATAAGGGATAAAACAAGCCAGCTGTGGCTCTGTAAGAGTGCCATCAGAGGTCACCGCAGAGCCTGGGGTGACTCCAGATGTTTGTATGAAGCCCAGATGACACACACGCATTATAAACAGCCAAGGTTTGTGGCAGGAGCCAATAAAACATTAAGACGCATTGTCTTTATCCAGATGATGAGCAGCACTGTAAAAGTGAAATGTTTACTTTGAAATAGGATGACAGAGGGTGTGCACAGGAGTGATTCCTGAAAACATACACCACCATTCAAAAATCTGGGGTCACCTCCATTATCCCACTTTTTATTATACCGTTTTAAGCAGTTCAGATCCAGTCAATAACTTTAAATGGTACAAAGCTAAGAAGTAAACTGCCAGTGGTTTAACTAAACAAAACCAAAACAGCACAGTTTGTAAATTTCATGTGAAACAGGCCTTTTTCAGGGACGAAGTAATAAGTTAACATGCATGCTACAGGAAGTAAATGAAGCCTTGAAAATTGACACAATTCCTACAGTTGACCCAGCTTTTGTTACTCACTTACAAGAACAAATTCAATCTTTTCACCCTCTGAGGCATTATTTGCAAAAAGGCTAAATAAAGGAAGTCAGACCTTTTTCAGAGTAATGACCGCCCCAAAAACACCTCCAGGCTGTGTAGAAGAACAAGACAATCAGCTGCAAATGATTGAATGGCAGCACAGTGTCCAGACTCCCCACATGAAGAGTGAAAGCAAAGCAATCTACAAGTGCAACACATCTGTGGAACATCTGCAACAGTGCTGTCTATCCCAGAAATATTTGATTTCAGTTGTAGAAAGAATTCCACAAATGTGTTTGGTTGCTGAATTACACTAATAACTGGACAAATAGAGGTGATCTAAACCTTTTCTCACGGTAGTGTACATGCACCCTGAGGTAAAATTGAAATCGGACTGATACAGAAGGTAATTGATAAATAGTTTACATAGGTACCTAAATGTAATGAAGAAACTGTTGAAATGGTAAAAGTAGTGGATAAACAGGTGATGGATAAATCGTTTGGATACATAACTAACTGGTAGGAGTACAATTACAAACTTGACCAGACCCATCTAAACACTGACAGCTCAAAAATGTTCCTCTTATATAATCATTTGTATTAGGTGTAAAATCAATAAAAAATGAACCTATTTGGACCATGATGGGTGGTGTCAGTGGTGGTAGATGGGGCTGTGCGGGTACAACTCCAAATCAGAAAAAGTAGGGACAGTATGTAAAATTAAAACAAAATAGTGATGTCTAAATCATCTGTGTCCTGTATTATATTTAAACATACAGCAGCACATTGATGAGGTATATCATCAAATCATTTTATTTCTTGTTCAAGATAAACACTCATTTCAATTCTGATGCTGCAACACGTTCCAAAAATAGTTGGGACAGTAAAGTGTTTACCACGGTGTGATGTTGTTCCTTTTCACAACACTTAAAAGATGTTTAGGGACTGAGGACACCAGGTGATTCAGTCTGTCAGGTGTCATTTTGTCCCATTCTTCCTGTAAACAAGTCTTAAGGTGCAACAGTCCTGGGTCTTTGTTGATGCAGTTTGCATTTCAAAATGCTCCACACATTCTCTATTGGGGACAGGTTGGGACTGCAGGCAGGACAGTCCAGTACTCACACCCTTTTCCTCCACAGCCAGGCCTTGGTAATGTGCCACTATGAGGTTTTGCATTGTCTTGTTGAAATATTCACGGGCATCTCTGGAAAAGACGTCGTCTTGAAAGCAGCAGATGTTGCTCCAAAACCTCTGTGTATTGTTCAGCATTAATGGAGCCATCACAGAAGTGGAAGTTAGCTTTGCCAAGGGCACTGACACAACCCCAGACCATGACAGACCCTGGCTTTTGGACTTGTTGCTGGTCTGCTGACATAGAGCTCCCTTTTGACACAGTACAGTTTACAGCAGCATTTATGGATGTAACTACGTATTGTAGTGCCTGACACAGGTGAGCCAAAGTCATCCTCAGCCCATGTGGTTAGATCGCTTATAGAAGATTGATGGTTCTTGATGCGGTGTCATCTGAGGGATCAGAGAGCACGGTCATCCAGTTTAGGTTTGTATCCTTGCCCTTTATGCACTGAAATCTTTGCTCCTAAAGGACTTGGCCTTTCCAGGACGCGACTGTTGAACCAAATCATGATGCAGTCACCTGTTTCAAAATGGAATCATCATTTCATTGTTTTACCTCATTACTGGCCCTGAAATGCAGCTATCCCAACTTTTTTTGTAATGTGTTGTAGCATCAGAATTGCTGCTGTATTGTTTTACAATAATACAGGACAAGGATAATTTAAAAAAATCACTACTTTTAATGTTGATTTAACATACCATCCCAACTTTTTCTGATTTGGTGTTGTATGTCAGACAAACGGTTGAGGACCTCTGCCATACAGGGCGTCACTATAGAATACGTACAACAAACAGTACGCAAATGAGACTGCATGAATAAAATAGTAAATGGTTTTATTCTTTTTTTTTTTTAACCATGCCATCGAACACTGACGCATACAGAGTTGTGCCTGAATCCACACTGAGAAAACACTTTCACACACTATGTTACAAAGCTGTAATGAAGAGGGATTTAACTGCACACATGGCAAGAAGAACAACCCTGATTGGATACCAGGTCGAGCTTTGATCTGGCCCTGAGGTAGACAGACATTGACATAATCTAAACAATGCTAATCACATCCTTCTAGGACACATCAAATAAAAGGACATCTGCATTATCACAACATAGAAAGATCAAAGAAAAAAAAAACCCTTTTCAACAAAAGTGCTCTATTTCTTTTGGTCCACCAAGGAAAACCATTTATAGTGCATGTTCATATAGAATAGATGCAGTGAATGTGTCTTCATGGCACTGAGTGTTGCTGACTACTTAAGAAGGCATTGGTAATGCCCACGGACACCGAGATTTGCTATACATACTGTTTTCACCCAGAGATCTCAGCCTATTGTCACTTTGAAGGGAACAATTTGAGACAAGCGTGTACTTTTACATCAAAATTGCTTGGAACTTGCATCAGGGTTTCAGCCACTATCACAGTATGTTGCTTCCAGTTGCAATGTTCAGACAAAATGGATACACATGGCAGTCTATCTTCAATTATGTAACAATAAACAAACACCCAGAAACAACTACCAACAGCACAGACCCATGTACTCAAGCACATCGATGCTCTACTTATAAAAGAGGCACAAGGGAGGGATCTTAATCAAATCAGAGACTTAGAAAACACACATTAAGATGTTTGTCAAATCATACCAAATGTAAACAGATAGCAAATTACTGTCATACAAAAATACAACGTTTAAATCTATAAGGCCTGTTAGGCTCACATCAGGGAATACCATGACAGTTTGTACATTACAGCTACACTACAACTGACAATAACCTGCTCATAGTGATTCGGTGTCAGAATTTTCTGTTCATGTTTTCTTAAAAAAAAACTTTTTCATCTTTTCTTTAATTTTCTCCAAGAAAATTCTGATTCTGTGACCTAAAACATCTAAATATAGCGATGATAAAAAAATACACATAAAAGCCATGTTGAGGCTTTTTTTTTAACACACTGACCATTTAAATTATAATGCATGTGTTAGAAATTTTAAACTGAATGAATAATTTGCAGTAGGTTTAAAAACAGATGGTGAAAAGTGAGGAGAGGTAGAGCTCGCTCTACTAGAAAGCATCCCAAGAGACACTGACTGTGTGATGAAAGCCAGCACATATTTGGTAACAAATAAACAACATATAAATAGCAAAAACCTATTACATTGCAAGAGGAAGTCAGATTGTGAGCCAGCTACCTCAAAACAAGAACAGCCACTGCAAGAAAGACAAGGTGATTAAAGAGCTCAAGCTTCTGAGGTCAAAACGTGGCAACCATTCAAGTAAAACATGCAGAAAATAAATCCAAAACCAAAATCCAACAGCAGAAAGAGCAAATCAAACAAACCGAGTAGTCACTGAAAATAGGCAGAGAAAATGTTGCAGATTTGAGCCAATCAAGCCTTCGTGGAATTGTTTTCAACATCTACTGCACAATCATAGGATATGACCTACTGTAGGTGAAGCAGCCAACCAAGAAGCTCCTGCTGCACACACAGGTCAGCAGCCACTGTGGCGTCGATGTTAACCACAGTGGATCCACTACAGATACAGTGATTATCCACACTGTACTCGTGTGTGTGTGTGTGTGTGTGTGTGTGTGAGAGTGAGAATGTGTGTCTGTGCATGTTTGTGTGCACCAAGGGCTGAAACAGTAACTGGTGACAATTTTGATAATCCAGTCATCATTGAAGTCCTTTTCCAGCGCTGCTAAATGCGCTGCTCCTCAAAATATGATCATTTTCTGCTTTTCTCTGTTTTGATCTCTGTAAATGGGTCATTCAAAGATGTCACTAGAATGTGAGGATTTTCTGTCAATTTTCAGAATGATTTACCACTTACCGTAGTAAAAATGTTTTACAATTTAAAAATGTATTTCTGATTTATAATCAAACCAGTTGCAGCCCTAGCGTGTACACAAATCTGTGTTCATGCTTGCATGTTTCTGTTGTCAGGTAAAAACCTTTTATCTTCCTGAACTTCCCACAATGCATTTTCCAGCTTATGTAAAAAGTTTTTGTTTCTATCCCCATAGAGGAACATGAAATCCGTAACTCAGTGATTCACTAACACCGGAATTAGGAGGTTTTCACCCAACTGTGTGTTTGTCAGACTGTGCACGGGGTCTAAGTCCTGCTCAGACGTAGCAGATGTACAGGTAAGTTTTTTCTATCCTCCAGTCTGCCGGCACCTCCTCGGGTTTGTGGCCCTTCATGTGCTTCTGCATGGCGGCCAGACTTGGACAGAAGTCCTGGCAGATGGTGCACTGGTATGGAGACGCTCCGTTGTGAGTGCGCAGGTGCTTGATCATAGCTGAGTAGTCTCTGGATCGTTGGTGACACAGTTTACACTCGAATGGCTTCTCACCTGAAAAATTCAACAATGGGCATTAACCTTGTAAATCCGCAGCCAGAGGCGCGTGTGTGTGTGTGTGTGTGTGTGTGTGTGTGTGTTTGTGCTCTACAGTTAGACCTATGTGTATCAGTTTGCCTTTAGCCTGGCATTAGATATTGGTCAGTCAGCGTTGTCCACCACAAATATGGATTCTGTCTGAGATCAGTGAGATAGCAGACTGTAAAATGTAAGCTTAAAGGAGACGATTATGAGTTGGCACACTGAAATGAGTTTAGGTCATTGTTGAGTAGTGTTTCTCTGTAAAATAAGTTGAAGGCAATCTGTAAGTTGCCGTTTGTTGAGCCATTCAAACTTAGTGATTAGTATTTAGCCTAATTTTCAAAACAATATTTAATGCCTTTTTATTAACATGCTTTTATTCTCTAGAAATAATGCAGTATATCTTTGTACAACAGTCATTTGTGCTGTTAAAGTATCATAAAATAATTATTTTTCCTAATAATGACAGTTCTATGAAAAGGCCAAAAGCATGAATGCATTAATATGTTGGTTTATATTTTCTGACCTTCCCACCATGTCCGTGTTCCTCTCATGTCTCTTTGTTCCTACTGAGCACATGAATATTTAAAAATATTTTATGTACTTTTAAAAAAAGAGAACAATACCCTAAAACAGCTTGGCACTGTTTTGTTAAAGTTACTCCTACAGGAGTGAATCTTGCCTTTGAGGGGAACTACTTTCATTTGTGTGTTCATACACATTTAGTGAGTATTAACAGCGGCAGAACAGTGTGTATGGGATTAAGCCAGAACAAAACGGCTGTGTTCATTGTAGTATGCCACCCAGTGCCACCTTGTGACTGATGTTTCTAGAGGAAGAAATTATATTAAATGTAGGCTACACAGACGATGCAAATTCATTGTTGGTTTTGGTCTTTTCATAGGATTTATTGACAGTAAATCTAGACAATATTGCCAGCATTCTCCTTTTCCAGTGTAAAGATATTAAATAACAGTTAAAGATCCACCCTCATAGCAGCGCCGGCACCCTCCTTTATGTTTGCATGTGTCCTCTCTGAGCTCTCACCTGTATGTACACGGTAGTGTGTCTCTAGCTGGTGTTTGAGGCTGAACCTTTTCCCGCAGCCGTTGCACTCGTAAGGCTTCTCTCCTGTGTGGATGCGTTTATGACCCCTCAGCGTGCCGTCGTCTCTGAAACAGCTCCCGCAGAATTCACACTCGAACGGGTGATCGCCTGAAAACACAGTCGTGTCAAAACAGCAGCCACAACAAGCAACACATTGTGAGAAGTGTTAAAGGCCAGTCTCATCCTTGGCACGACATGGTATGGTGCATACAGTATGTAGATGCATAGGTCAAATAGTCGCGTGGCCCTTTCTGCACATGCACATCAGCAAGGAAATAATGTGCTTTCAGACGTCGCTAACGTGACGACACAAGGACACTCCTCTTGGTCTGCTAACAGCTAATAAAATCCTCCAGGCAGGTGCTGCTCTGTTCTCTATACTGTAGTTAATCCATTCCTCTCCCAGGCTGACGGTTTGACTCATCTCCAATGACCTATGTGCCTCATTATCTCAGTGTCCACAGCAACAGCCAAGTCAGAGGATACATTGCTCTCCTCATTACAGGCTGATTCTCCCCGTATCCCCCACCCCGCTGTGGAGCAGATGACATTTACAAAATGTTACTTCCAAGCGGAATGGCATACAAACAAGATACGCTGCCATGGCCAAAACTCCCTTCACTTCTGTCTCTTCACATCAATTATGTATTTCTCCTGTCTAGACATCAAGCCGTTCTGACAGCTGGGAGTGTTATTTAAGGTAAAGGAAGAAAGGGGCACATCTTTTCAGTAAATATCTCTGCGTCTCCTGCGGCAATAAGACTCACCCTCACCAGAACACTCAGACAAGTCATTTCCATTCGCTTTTCCTTCAATATTTATTTGGGTTTCCTCTATCATTTTGGGTGAGCCACACTAGAACTGACAGCCGTGAACTGCAGAAGCCCAAAGGCTGTCTCAGAACCCAAAATATAAACAGGATGAAATTACCCAAAATATGCACCGGCCATAACGGTACAGTGCTGCCATCAGAGGTGAGTCATCTTACAGAGAAGGGGAAAGCAGGAGAGGATGCATGCAAGCTGACTAAAACCTCAAAGCCAATTACCTGAGGAAATTAACCCGTATACCAAAATAAATCCAGCTGTCTTCGTCTCTTCCACATACACATGCTTTTGACACAAGATGTTTGTTCTATGATAGGAGACAACACTATAGACAACAATGACTGTGCGAGTGATCCGCCTCTTACCCGTGTGCGTACGCAAGTGTCTTTTGAGGGTGGTGTGGCTGGGGAAGGGGCGCTCACAGTGGCTGCAGATGTAGCTGTGCATGCCGGCATGGACCTCCATGTGCTGCTGCAGGGCCTTCTGGGTCTGGAAGCGCTTTGCACACAGCAGACAGAACACCGCCATGTCAGTCCCTGGAGGATGCACAAGACACAGACGCACAGTTATTTCAGTACCATACACAGACAGGGCCTTATAAGTGGGGAAACTGGGTCACTTCAACTTTGTGTGAGTCCTCTGAGGGAGAAGCTTCTTTCAAAGAGCAAGCGCCTCTACCTAAACTAACTCCCCTAAAAGCCCTGAGGCTCTTTCAACTGTGAATCTTTATACATTCTATTTTAAACCATTAAAGGCATTGTTTTCTTTAAGAATTTCCCACACAATACACAGCATGCCAATCACACAATCAATAGCTCCTTCCTGGTGTGTTAGATGTGTAATTATTCTCTTCATTCCCCATCAGGAGTCAGCTCCAGCCTGTGAAGTCCTCTGTCTCTGTGCTCAAAGAGTGGCTGATAGTAGCTCCACCCTAAATGATGCCTACACTATGTGTTCTGTGCAGAATGTTAAGTAGTGATATCAAGCCATTAAAGACAGGACTGCAGGAAAAAACACAATCCAGTTTAATCCTGTGTGTGTGACCTGGCATCTCTTTGGGGCTACTTTCCTGTTGCACAGAGTGTGGAGAGGAATACAGATAGGCAGTCGTTGGCAGGGTAGTTTAAGTCAAAATGGCTATGTGAAGAAGCTCCACTGGCTGTCATACAGCCAACACCTGATCTACGGGCTGCGAACGCCAGCACTCAGATCTAGTCTGGCATTCACACCGACGCAAATTCATACGTGTGGTGAGACTGAGGCACTGGTTAATCAGCTGCATCGGACATAACGCACATGTCCTGGAGAGTGAGGCTTTAATGTGAGATTATGAGGTCCTTTATTTCTCTGTCTGCTCAGGGTGCAGATCATTTACAATGCTAGCAGGTCCCATTGCTCCTGACTCAGATTCAATCAGACATCTCCAGCGGAGGATCATTAGTAAACAGAGGACTGTGCCAGCACTTCATTGGAATTCAAGTGGGGTTGCTGTGTCGCATTTAAAATGCAGTCTGATGAGGTCCACTAAATCAAATCATTTGTTACTGTTATTGAAGTGCCTTGAGGCAACTGGCAATTAAATTGGAATTAACGCAGGGAAAGGGATACAGCACACTCATACTAAGAGGGAAGAGTGTCAGACACTTGCTTTAGGTTCAATCAAGTTAACAGACAAGCCTGTTCAAAGTAGAAAGAAAAAGAAACAAATCAAGCAAATTCACATTTTCTGGGAGAAATCAGAAACATTCACCATGTGCTGTTTACTAATCCACGTATCACAGCTTGCTCAAACAAAGCAGCCTTTTTTTGCACTTAACATTTCACAAATAGGTACAGCTTGGCATAGAAGCACAAAACCTCTTCTTTTGAAACGACATTGCCTCTTTTTGAACTTAGTTTTGAAATGCTCCCCCTAAAAACAGTGCTAAAAGAACAGATCATCTGTAATCATTAACAGAAAGAAGGCAGGATAAAAGACATTCTCTGATGCTAACAATCCTGCAGGGAGGCGATCTGGTGGAATGAACTGCACCTGTTCAGAGGCTTTAGACTGTGAACTTGTGCACAAAGGGCACACAATAAGGTTCAGGCCCTCATTGACCAAGCCCATTAGTCATAGGCTCCTCACCCAACTCCTACAATCCCTGTCTTTATGCTGTCACCTAATGACCAAGGCCCTTTCTCACCCACGGATCACAATATTTTAGTTGGAGACAAAAGACCCTCCGTTCTCAACGCCTCTGCACCCTCCCCACTCCCCTTACCATACAGGAAATCCTTTCACTGGCTAACCAGCTTCACTTTCTGCTTGAGTCATACTTAACTAATGCCGGGTCACTATGCACTGTGCAGTAGTGGAGTCTGGATAATGATCCATCTAAAAATGGCTAAAGACATTTAAGAAGCTCAGATTGCAGTCTCTGCATGACCTGTGATGTGGAGCCTTGATCCACCTTAACCAGTTTCTCTGGTAATATCTGCTGCAGCCAGCAGGGGGAGTGCTTTCTGTTCCAATGTGTCCTGGATAGTTTAGCTGCAGGCAAAGCAGAGAGAAGCCGTCAACCTGCTGAATAACATGTTATCCACCTTGTAAATACTTCAGAGCTACTGTAATTATCCTCCCTCTGTTCTTTCAACTAGCATATATTGTAAATGCTTGTTTTACAACATATGTTCTTCTGTCTGCTCTGAAAGTTTAACATGCTGGCTTCCTTGTGGAGGTAAGCCGTTACTCCATGACACACTCACTGATACTCTGTCCTGATTCTTCTGTCACCAACAATACTCGAACTTGAGTCAAGAAATATGACAAATATTCTGTCACCAGAATCTCACTCTTGATCTCAGGTTGATGCGATGACAACGGCTCAGCAGTCGTTTTCGATATCATTCTGTGCAACTGACGCCGAAAATAAAAATCAAATATTTTGAAGTGTAAACAAAAACCTTCGGAGGCAGGGGAGTGTTTGTGTGTGTTGGCGGTGGCATGTTGCCTGACTGCGTTAACTTTTTCAAACTAGGATTTGCAGTCGTAGAGTTTTCCAGTAAGCTTTGGTAATAAGTGCAGAGGAGCTTCTATGAGAGAATAAGCCCTGTAGTTGGCTGACACTGCCCCCTGATTTCTCACCCTTAACCACACAGTGGGCCTGGGATTTGGGTTTTAATGCACAGGATGACCCCTTGACCTTTGCCCTCAGTGGGGCAAATACCTTGTAACCAGTGGTATTCCTCAAAGGCTGGAGAGTTGACTGAGCATTGTGTTTAGTGTGAAGGAGCCTTACCAATGGGAATGACGGTTTACTTTCAAGCAATTCTGCTATGATGCAGAGAACACAAATATTTACTGTGCATCATGTTAGGGAGCCGTTTGTCTAATGCACAGTCAGGTTTGTAATTCAGGTCTGAAGTTGTTATGGTATTGCCGCATATCTCTGCTAATATGATGTGTATGCTCAAGTCATTTAACATGGTCTGCCTTCACACATCTGCTACTTATTCAGTCCAACTAGAGGTGGGAGCCAGCCAGGCTCTCACGCTGCCTAAGAAACAAAATCATGTGTCTAGGCAACCAGATAGGATCATGGTCCTTGTTGGGGTGAAGTGTTCAAGCTAATCCCTCCATTCACAAATAAGCGCAGCCTGTTTCTTTTCAAGCGGCAAACAAAAGTTTTCCCACCCTGAGAATCTGGGAGTAAACCCACTGCAAACTGAACAAGAGATTGTACTGAGTGATGACCGCAAATCTTTGTAATTTCATCTGTTAATCTTAACTTCAACATCTGCTGCCCACCAATTACACTGATTCTGGATTTGTGTTTAACTTCACTTTATTGTATATTGGTTAAACTGAATAGAACCAAAACGTCTCCGTTTAACCAATTTTGCAAATCATTAACCTTTTATTAAATAAATACCAGTGGAATTTGATCTGCTGAAAGTTTTCCTCCAGTAACTTGTGAATGAGCCAAGTTAAAGCTAAACCAATCTTAAAGGGCAACTAAATTAACAGAGATTTCACAATTTACTATATTACGTCACAGCTGATCATGTCTACCAGCTAGAGTATGCAGTGTGGAGACACTATAAACTATGTCAACATAGTGTGCTCAGTGTCTGCTGGCACTCTGAGCTCACACAGCTAAACATACACAGTCATGCAGGCCACATTATGTACTAGACCTCTCATGACCCTGTGCATTTGTACTACTTTGTGTTCATGTAGACAGCTCCCTGTGGATGTGAAGCACATATAAAAATGCTACAGTACCTTAAACAACCCCGGGCGCTCATCAGTAGACTGCTAATCTACTCGAGTGAGGAACAACCGACTCAATAATTAATGCAACAAGAGATACGTTGCTCGTATTTAACCACCGTTCCATGGACCGGTTCATTGAGGTCATATGCTCCTTCATTTGCCTCAATTCGTAGGATGTTTATGGTATTTTCTCTGTCTACTGTATTTCACTTTATGTGAAATGACAGGTCAGCCTGGGGCTTTGTGTCTCACGACAGTCAGTGCAAACAAATACTGGAGGCACAATGGCCAAACAGAGCACAGATCAATGCAGTTTAAGGCTTGTATGAATTACAGCTGGCTATTAACAGGAGTATGATGGGGGGACGCGCAATTAGGCGAGCTTAAAGATCTGCATGAAGAGGGCTGCATTGTAAAGCCTGGGCTGTATGTGAATGAACCACAGGGCCGTCTAATTAGGGCTTGGACAGAAGGTAATATTATTCACTTGATGAAGAAGGCTGTAATGTGTGAAAACAGTGCAGCTGCTGTGAGTACACAAAGGCAGCACTCGTATGGCCTTTGCCTTGAAGGCAAGGTTGCAAAATGGTCAGAAACATACACAGTCTATCTCTGTGAATGCTGTGTAGATAAGCTACTGTCTTGGTCTTTCCAAAATCGAAAGCTTGGTGCCCTGGTGTCTTGATTTGCTCTGAAACAGGCCACTTTGTTGTGAGAGTGATTCGGAGATGGAGCCATTCTTTTATTTTGGGCACTGACAAGTAGGGCAGAGGAGACTATGACAGCGCTGTGGTGAGGAGTAAACAGCAGCACATGATGTTGTTTTCCTCCCAGTCCTGGCATCCAACACTAGCAGCAGTCCTCTTGCCCCCAGGAAGTCCTCACATGCCCCCTATCCCCTTCCCTTCCCCCAACCCCGCTTTGATCTCTAACTTCAGCAACCTACGGCCGTTCACCTCTGACATATCAAAATGCCTAAACAGACTTTCACTGTGAAATAGTCGGCCAGTGTTGCCAAATTGCTTTAGGGCAAGGTCTCCCAAAAGTAGTATTATTTCCCCACCAAAGGAGGTGGACAGCACTGTTGCAGCTGCTGAGGTCTGACAAGTGTTAATCTGCTCAGAGGAATCTCATTTGGCTCACTGGTTATGCCACATGGCAAATTAAAGCTTTGGCTACACCGTCGGCACCAAACACTAAAAGATCCCGTGTGTTTTTAGGAGAAAAAAAAATCCAGGTAACATTGAATAAATGTGATTAAATTACCTTTAGCTCATGTCATAGCTGTAAAAGTCAGTGAAAAGGGTCACGTTTCCCAGCAGGCTGAGCTGAGATCAGGACAAAATGACAGAGTAATGCCCTCCTGTACCCTGCTCTGGATACAGTGCCAAGCTGAAACAGAGCTCTGGATGTTTACAACTTGGGGAGATGAAGGTAGAAACTTCTGGGCATCGTTAACACCCCTCCACGTCCACAGCCATTAACTATTCATACTGTGTGTGCCACCTGGAGTTACAGTTACGTGCCAGCGCTCCAGAGAGGGTTATCACCTTTCTCTGACAGTAGCAGAAAAGGTGTGGATTCAGACACTGTCAGGCATATGCAGCGTCTGACAACAATACGGCTGTTGTTCACAGTTAGAGAAGTTAGACTCAGCCACATGTTGTCAAGTCTTTCTCACTTAAAGCTAATGGGACAGCATAAGAGTAAAGAGCCACAAGCTACATGTATACTTACAGTTGAAAGGCTTTATAGGTCGTCAATAATGACCTTATCAGTGGCTATAAACTAGTTGTTAAGCTGTTATGATATAGAATTTGTCAGGTTGTGGATTCATTTTTAACTGACCCATCATGTTAGTTGCTGTTTTAAATGATAATAAAATGGAAAAACAGGGTCATATGTAGGTTTTTTTGTCCACTCTAAAGTAGTGCTGCAACTAATGTATTTATTATCTACTCATCTTCAGATGATTTTATTTTTTGATTCATCATTTGGCCTATAAAATGACAAATTGTGAAAAATGCATCATTTTGAAGATAACTTCATATTTGTCTGGTTTGTCTAACAGTCCAAAAACCCACAGGTCTTCATTTTGCTATCATAGAAGGCTGAGTAGCAAATATTGATCTTGGAGAAGTTGGAAGCATTTTGCTTAAATAATTTATCCAAATAGCTGTGATTAGCCAGACTTTCTGACACCTGATTAATCGAATGATGGTTTGAGCTTTACTTTAAAAGAATCAGCCACTGTTAAATGATATTGTAAGTCAAAGGTTTAATTTACTTGTGAAGTTTTCTGTCAGCAGGTGTCGGGTTCTAACATCTCATGGGCTCCTTCTTTGATTAATCAAAGACCTAAAAATAAAATCACGTTGTGTTGGCAGAGAATATACACCAACCGAACATGCTAAAATGTAGACAGGCAACCCGGCAGCTGACAAACATCCTGACACTTTACAGTATATATTAATCCCAACAGATAATTACTGTTACGTTGGCGAATGTTGTTTTAAGTACAGTGGGGTTTAGCATTAGCTTTACATATTGTATTTTGCTGCACTGTACTGTGTTCTGTATCTTAGGTTAAGGTCTGTGTGTCTTGTATTTCACTTGGCTGCACAACCAGTTTCTGCTCAAAGTGGAAGTTGATATGGAAAGTGTTAGTTATTACTGGCCAACCATCAATAAAATGATGATGTATTAACCCTTAGTATGTCTGATAAAGTGCTGCCAAATGTAATAACAACACCCTGAATCCGATAGTAGTCATTTGTAACACAGATACCAATTTGCTGAGACAAAATACTGCTAACATTTGTTTTCTTTAACTTTCTCTTGACTTCAGGACCTGTGACTGCATCTGTAATTAATTGAATTTTAATTTAATAATACATTTAATTGCCTTTGTTTTTATATAGCTTGTCTTGTTTCATCTCCTTTCCCTTCCTTCTTTTTGCAACGTGCTTTTCTGACCTCTGCTTTGAAAAGTCAAACAAAACTCAGTTTGTTTGCTTGCTTGCTGCTAATACTACAGAATGGTGAGGGTTTTAAGAATTGATTTTAAAAAATGTTAACAACTTTGGCTCCTCAGGGAGGTTGTTCCAAACTCTAAGAGCCCAGATTGCAAATCACAAATCACCGTCCAGGTTTGTGCAGAAAACAAATTGACTCATCCTAGTGCCAACTGTTAACGCCAGACATTGAGTGGATGGGAAAAAGTTGTAATACAAATATTTTCTTGATTTAAGTTGAGTGAAAAGGACAAAAGGTGTTCATCTGTGTGTGTGCAATTGCAGTCAGGCAGGAGGTGAGGACAGTGAACCTGTGATTCTGCCACTGTGAAGCTGTGGCAAAGTGGCAAAGTGGCAAAGTGGCATTGGTTGGGTCTGGGTGCCAGGCGATATTAGTGGGTGATATGTGAGAGGCCCTCCCACCTCCCTGTTGATGAATTATGGAGCATCATGACAGGAACAGTTTAGCCCAGCCAGCATGACAAGCAAGTTTAGACCCACGATCACACGTTCTGTAGTCACGGCCTACTCCACATCTCAGCGCATGCTGTCCAGGTTAAACATTTGTGTGTCTCAGAGGGAGTCGTACTGTAGCGCATGCACGTGTTTGTAAAGTACCTGTGTGTGTTTGCCTGTGGCCTTCAAGAGCATCCTCTGAGGCAAATGTTGCTCCACACTGATCACACACCAGCGCCTCTGCGGGAACTGTGGATGAAACGGAAATGTATAAATATGTATCTTGATGAGACGAACACAAACGTGTAGTAAGTCGGTTGGCATTTAAGGACAACAATGTTTCAAAAGTCACCAAAGAACCTCGCCTGTGACACACTTGTGCTTTTTAAGGTGTTAACTCAAGGAAGCAAATACGCAGAGTATGATGGAGCCGAGGAAAGCGCCATAAAAACACAACTCACAACAAACGAAAGCACCAGACGGGGCGCAATGGCCCTCCTTCTTGACAAAACAGAGCTGAGCAGAAAAGTTTTATTTACCATGTTATCAGTGTCTGAGCAGTGAGCAGACTGTCTGCCTGAGAGGCCACAGAATGACTGGGTGTTCTCTCTACAGCAGACGCTTCCTGCCCACGGCGCATCCCTTTATCAAAAAAACCCCTTCAGAGTCAACACCCCAAATCCCATCACACACACTGTAACTAAAGTTCCCAGCTCACCTTTGGAATGCCCTTGTCTATTCTGATGAAGACATGAGAGAGACAAGTATGCATTCCGCTTGCAGAAACATTCACTGCTTGTTCTGCACTCACCTCACACCTACACAGACAGACGCATAGGACAGATATACACATACACGCACGCACTCTCGTTCACACACGTGCGCACACAGCTGTTTGGATGTGGGCTGGCTCTCACAGAGATGTAAATCGGCTGCAGATCCATACTGGCCCAGGGCTCATTCACTGATCTATTTTCTGCTCAGCTGGCTTTAAATGAAGTTAAAATGACTCATTAAAACACCCACAAGCTTTGGGAACTCAGAGCGCCACAGCCTAAATGTGGTCCTCTTTCAACTCTTACGATGCCTCTGTACACAGACACTGTGCCACAGATCTCAGTGGTGCGCACAAATAACATAAAAGCCCTGATCTGTTCATTTCTAAAAACATCAGTTTTTGAAAACAAACCGTTACTGTTTGGAACGGTGTGTTTTGTTACATGGCACGAACATAAAACTTGGTTGAGAGTAGTCTTACACTGGAGCAGTGTTGTAGATCCTGATGTTGTGTGACGCTGTCCAGTGTGGTGTGTTGTGTTGTGTTAGATTCTGTGATAAGGGAAGAAGAGAACAGAGTGCATTGTCTTGTGCAGTCAAAGGCACGGAGTGTGCTCTCATCCATAAACCATCAAACTGTCTCCAGACGCGGCTGCAATCGTCCTCCATCAAAACACTTTGTCTGGCATACCAAAATAAGAGCCAGCATCGAGCTGAATACCAAATCAGCCCATTAGAGCGGTGGAGCACTCGCTCCTTAGCAACCAGCAGGATCTAAGGCTGCTATACCGAAATACACAGTGACAAAGAAATATGATCCACATCTTCTGTTTTATTTTATTTTTTTGTTGTGGTATTATGGGTTGACATGTTAGGGTGGGTAGAATTTATGCCAAAAATCTAATTAAGTTTAAGGTGCTGCTCTTGTGGATGTCACTGTGAATTGAGAATCAAAGCGAGTTGTCAAGGTCTAAGAGTAATAGAAGACAACAGGTATGTTTAGGGTTGTGCCGAGGTTAGAGACGGTGAGGAGAAGGGATGACTTGGGTGAAGTTGAAAGGAGCAGATTCTCTCTCATCTGTCAGCAGGATGTCATTCCCGCACAAAGGACCTCACCTTGTCTGTGCACACACATTCCAACTGATGTCTCTGTTGTAGTAGTTTCATTTTTAGCTGCTGCTTTTGGATAAAGTAGCTGGGAGAGCAGTCAGGTCTGATTAAGTCTGCATTTGGGTACAGTGTGTTCCTGGACACACATCTGCGAGCGAGCCATCACACACGCTTCAGAACACTGGCAGAACACCCAGGCCTGCCGGCAGCTGATGATGTCATCACTCAGAAGGGGCAGAGCTGGCGAGCTGCCAGAGTCTCCGAAAAACACAGAAACGATTCAAAGGGAGAGAGAGGGAGAGGAAAGGGAGGGGACGGGGGGGGCTGTAGGTACATAAACCTAAGCACGGAAAAGGAAGCAATATCTAAGTATATTTGGGGGGGGGGTTGTGTCTAGTGTGAACAGGTGCGTTTTAAAGGCCACACTATCAGGAGGCTTCAGAAGTAGTGAATATTTGGAAATGAGGGCGTGAGAGTTACTAAGTACCTGTGTGAGAGAGCATGTGCATCCTGAGCCGCATGCTGTCCTGGAAGTGTTTGCCACAGTATTCACAGCCGTGGCCCTTCTCCTTGTTGTGCAGCCTCCTGTGGAAAGACGGACACTAACGTGAGCGTCTTCACAGAGACCAGAACAGAACAAAAGTATCCCGTTTCTGCGCCTTTCCTGTAAGGTCTCCCAAACCCAGAAGCATCATTGTCCTCGTAACAAGAGGAGCATGTTTTAATTCCGGGAAGAATCCCTCACTGAATGCAGCATCATTAGTGTAAAAGGCCCATGGAGTTGTGAATCACAATGCCTGAATGCTAAAAGAACACAGACAATAGGATATCTGGCTAATTTCAGAGTACAGACGTACGCATGCCTCCACCCACCACCAATGCAAGACACCGGGCACGCAAACAAACACACGTGCGCGCAAACACTCACGCCCAACATAACACACACACACACTTCTCCTGTAACTGCAATTAGAAGGAGAAAAGAAGATGATTCGCTGAAGCTCCGCCGGCAGCAAAACCCATCATATCATATCACACATCCAAGCATGCGAGGCATCTGCACCGTTATCCTTGTATCACCACGCTAACAGCACAGCAAATGGCCTAAAAACTGTCCATGGTTACACACTCTCTGTAGTGAAAGCACCCATAAAATCAACATGATCACAAAGAGGAAAGAGAATTATTTCGGAGCACTGACAGGTTGTTGGCATTTGAAGATGTGATTGACTTGTAATGATGACAGTTGAGCATCTATATGTGAGACTTTGAAAAGCTTCTGTTTTGGTTAACCTGGTATCCCAGCAGTCTGAGGTGGGAACCACGTAACCATCATGCATATACTTCCTTTCCTTCAGTCTCCTCTACTGTACCAAAGACACAAAAAGCCCCCACAACAGATGTAAAAAGGTAAAAATACAGTGGTGGAAGGAGTACTCAAATTCTAGTTAGTTAAAGTAACAATATTACTGTGTAAAAATACTCAGAAGTCCTGCATCAAAATGTTACTTAAG